TCCATAAGGCTCAGGAAACCCGAAATGCAAAACAGGACCTTGGCTGAGGAAAAGGCTGCTGCAGGGTCACAGCTCAGAGCTTCAGAGAGGTGAACTGGGTGGGAATGTGGGAATTTGGCACATCCCTCCCCTGCCTGTGGCCTGTGCTTGAGGCAGCAGCTCCCTGAGCCTGTTTAGGGCACACACACTCCAGAGGAGCAGCAAATCCAACCTAAAACCAGCTCCTTGAGACACCAGYGAGCCCCTCTGAGCGGAAAACCTGCAGCAAGGAGAAATCCTCAGCAATCAGGGCCTCRTAGTGTGGCAGCAAAGCATTTGTAAGGCTGTTGTTACCTGAATTTAACTCAATTAACAACCATTTGCACTGGTTTACACGGCAGAGAGATAAACARCATTGGAAATTCAATCCGTGCTGCTGCTTTTAAGTGACCAAATAAATCACCCTCCTGAGTGAGCAGCAAATCCCCTGCGATGAACCTTTGGGAGGCACAGAATCCATCTCTGTGAGCGCCCAGGGCTGCTGCAAAACAGCTGCTCTGACCCTGAACTCACAGAGAGAGAGCCAGGGGGAGGAAAAAGCCAAAAAGCCCAACTAAACATTCAAAAAGATTGGAAAAAAAAAMCATTCRRAARTTTCTAGACAAGGTTGACTGAARGAKTTCAGCATCCTTACCTGCCTCAGTCAGTCTTACCTGGGTTATTGGTCCCAAATGGACCTSAGGATGAGGGGATGGAATGAGCCAGGACATGGCCTGGGACAGGAAGGGTTAATGGTCCATGAGCACATTCTGCTCTTTTTGGAGCCCTGAATGGTTTAGGAGCTCATTCCTAAATCCTGTCCCAGCCTCCCTGGCTGCAGAGGGGCTCTGGGGGCCACCACAGTTTTGTTTAAAGAACTGACCCTGAGTTTAAAATCTCAAATCCTTCTCCTCATGACCCACAGTTCCTCCTCATCTTCAAGGGATGGGCTGAAGGCTCTGGGTGCAGCAAGGGGACCCTTCCCTGGGCACTTTCACCTCTGCCTTCAGCAGGGGAGGGATGGGAGAAGCTCTGCAGGGCAGAGCTGCCCCTGCTGGGCTGTGGGGCTGCCAGGAGCTCTCTGTGTGCTCACCCTCCTGGGTCTGAGCTCCTTTCTCATCCTCCCTTCTCACCTGCTCCTCCTTCCCTTCCTTCCCCGCTGCATTCCCTCATTCCCGAGCTGTCTGCACAGTCCCCACCCAATGGAGCTCCAGGAATTGGGTAGAAAGGGCATTACAGCTCCTTTCTGTCCCCGTTCAGCTTGCAGGGGGAAATTCAAGTGGGTGAGGGCMAGGTGAGGATTTCCCTCCAGCCCCAACCCTGCTGCCCTCCCTGGGATGGTCACAGGGTGAGGGGAGGGACAGCAGAATGGGGCAGAAAACCCCCAGCCTGTCCTGCTCTCCAACCAAACCTGTGCCTGTTAATTAAGAAATCAAACTCTCATCACTCTCTTGGCCTCAGGGCTTTTTTTTTTTTTTTTTTGTTTTTTTTTTTTTTTTTTTTTTTTTTTTTTTTTTTTTTTTTACCTGTCCCAGGGGTACCTCAGTGCCTGACTCATAGTTCAAACGCTCTGAGCATCCAGATTTAAGTGGGAATTTTACTCTCTGAGTGAGGCGGAGCCTGCAAGGGACGCCCATGGAATCAGAGGATGGAAATGCAGGAGCAGACAGAGGGGAGTGGCTGCTCAAGGAGGGGTGGAGACATCTGGAAAGGAGCAAAATCAACCCCAGCAGCAGAGCCAAGAGAGAAACAAAGCGTTACCTTGCCAGGGGTAGGTACAAAGTGCTCAGAAGGGATCTGCTCCTCCACGAAGTTACCTGAGAGTTTAATTTGGTATGTGCTACCAAAATAGACTGCAGAGCAGTTAATGTGTTTGGATTATCTCCATGGTGGAGCCAGCAAGTCAATAACGGAGGGAGAAATTAAATCAGCTCCGAGCTGGCCCAACAAACGGTGTGGAGAGTCCTGGAAGCTGCAGGAGGCAGTGCCCTCCTCCTTCCCCTTTCCAGGGTCACTCGTGGGGTTTGTGACCTGCGGGGTCCGGGCAGTTCAAACCCTTGGAATGAGATCAGAGCTGCATTTCTGGCGGTGGGGCAGCAGCCTGGTAACGGGAGAGGGAGGATGCACACCCCGCACCGCACCATGCTCTTCTCCGGGGGAACGGCCAAGATGCAAAACTAGAACGGAAAATTGGGGGAAACCGAGGCACAGCCCCACACCCCCCACCACGAGCAGAGCCCTCCGCTGCCGGGGCCGGGTCCAGTCAGCCAAAAYGTAGGGCAGGGATGCAGAAGCAAAAAAAAAGGGGTGCAAGTGTTGGCTTTGCATAAGCGTGAGCTGCCGCTTATGCAAGCGCCGCCCGCGCTCGTTCCGAGGAAGGATCCTGAAGCGCTCACACCGCCGGCAGCATCGCTCCTGCCAGGAATCCTGGGCTGGACAGCTCCAGGAGGAACGCTCCCGGYGGCACAGCCCTTGGCAGGATCCCCCCTGGCTGCGTGGGGCTCATCCCTYGCGGGCACAAGATGTCCAGCGGGGCATCTCTGCCCTCCGGCCGGGATGCGGGCACCCTTGGCCTCGACGGTGTTTGAGCCAGGGCCGCCAAGGCGGTTCTGAGCCTACCTAATTTTTGCATGCATGCACGAAGCCTTTCTTCAAGATTTGACACTCTGTTCTGAAGCTCTTCGTAGTCATAGGCGCCAATCTCCTCCTGGAGTTCGTTTAGAACTGACGTCAGATTCTGGACCTCCTCTTTAAACTGCAATACCAATTTGGCATCGGCTTTGTACTCCTCCAACACTGGTATCAAAGGCCTAAGTTCCTCCATTTTCGCTTTTATTGCCTGCAAGGTTAAAATAAGCTCGGTTCAGTGCTATGCGTGCAAAAATCTGCAACACTCTGCCTTGACCTGGGTGCTTCCTATGGGAGCGAAATGTTCACAATTTCCCACAATTATTAGCATTAAAATTAATTATTATTTTTGGTCCGAATGATGTCTTGGCAAGAACATATTAAACAGGCTGCAGAACACCAAAATATTTGGGAAAGGCCTTTATTTGTCATTTTTAGAATGCAACATCTTAGGGTTACATGCTTCAGATCACATACACAAAGAGTTGTTGTTTTTTTTTTCTTTTTTTCTTTCCAAAAAATAAAAGAAAATAAGATATATATGCATTGACAAGGGTTTCAAACTATTCATGAAATGCATCTACAATTGCATGCAAAGGAAGATCTCGGTTGTGTGGTTCAAGGTTCCTTAGTGAGATATGGTGCTAATTTGGAAAATAATCAAAAAAAAATCAATGCATGGTGCAAAATGCTCTGTGGCCCTCTTTTCATGGTTACATGGGAGTGAACTGCTTCTTCAGTCACTGCAGCATTGAAAAAACTTGCTTTTTAGTTAGCCCTGTAAGCAAGAAAATGAAATACTGTTGAGGATCTAGCTCACTAACCTGCCTTATATAGATAGCCATTCATAGACACATACGGCACTAAAGAGAGAAAAAAAACCAACACAAGAGCTCCAAAGCACTCACAGTTTAATGCTGGCATGAGCAGGAACAAAATGCTGTGGCTGTTCTTTCCAATGCTGCTTTGGCAGCAAATTGGATAAAAAATTCCTCACTGGTTTTGAGAGTGGAACAGAAAAATCATTATCAAATGGACTTTGCAGAAATGAAAAATTTATTTTTTCTCTTTTTTTCTCTTTTTTTCTCTTTTTTTTTTTTTTTTTTTTTTTTTTTTTTTTTTTTTGTTTGTTTTTGTTCATTTAAAGGCTCGGAATGCAGCATTTTGTTGCAGATGCTTTGCTCCAGCAGCTAATGAGTAGACACATTAATATGCATGCACCTACCCGTTAATGAAGCGTGTTAGAACACCCAACATCCCTGGTGCTGCTCAAACTACAGTGGCCAAGCTCCCAGCACCCAGGGCTGTGACATCTGCCTGTGTCCTGAAGCGTTTTTGGGGCTGGACAGGTTCAGGAATTCCTCCTCAGCCTCATTCCCTTCCTTCCCATCCATCCCCTCCTATTTAAACCATGAGGTTTTTCCCTCCTGTGATTTAGAAGTGGGGGAATGCTTTAATTTTATTTAATTTTAAGTTTTCTGGCAGGCCATGGGRAGGGTTAAACTCATCAGGATGGTGGGAGAAAAATAATAATAACCGAAAAAAGGAAATAATTAAATAAAAGAAACTCATGCTCGAATCACAAAGATGGTCTTTCCATCCAGACTGCAGAGCTAAATTTAGGGGCCTGCAGTAACTGGAGATGGGGAGCGGAGGAGGTGGAGTTGGTGAAAAGTTTTAAGATCCTTCTTCCCAGCTTTTTATGAGGTAATTGTGGTATTTCAGTATTTAGCATTAAAAAAAAAATCTGCTTTAAAATATCAGCCAGCTGCCTGCCAACGAGGGTGGGAATCAGCTGGGTGGCTGATCAGAAAACTCCCAAGATTCCACCAGGAATCTTCTCCCTTTGGTTTTTATATATATTAACCTACAGCACGGCTAAAATTTAAGATTCTAGTTTTGCTCAGAACTTCTTTTTGGCAATTTAATTCGTTCTCCAGAAAATTCCTGAGGGTTTGGCCACTGCTCCCAGTGCTGGCAGCTCCACTCCCCCCGTGCCCAGCAGCAGGACATGACACAAAACCCATCACAAGGTGCTGATGGGTGCTGCCAGCACCATGAGCTCCAAATTCAGGAGACAAATCCCTGGAGATGTGCAGTTTGCCAGCCTGRGGACAGCTCTAAGAGTTGTACTTTTGGGGTTTTTTTTGGGGGAGTTGATGTTTGATTGATGAACTCCCTTCTCCAGACACCCTGAGGGGTGCTGGGGTTTGGTTTAGTGACCACAGGGAGCCCCAATTCCTGGGTTTTCCCAAAAAATGGGTCCTGGCATGGCAGGGAGAAGCTGCCTGGAACCCATCTCACCCAGATTTTGGGTATCTCCCTGCAAAATCCCTTACAGAATCACCCTACACTGCCCTATTTGGGGCACCCAGGTGGTTTTGGGTGTGGGAACATGGAATTTGTGCTTTTACCCTAWARGAATACKTAGGGCTGAGGATTTGATGCCACARCCTKGAYCTGGCAGTGCTTTGGACAGCAGGGAGACCCCACAGCTGATCCCCTGATGGGAACCAGGGCCACAGTCCCGTTCCCATCCCAAAAATTCCCCACCCACAGCTCCCATAGCACTTTGGAAATCAGACCTACCTTAAACTGCCTTGCCAGGTGCTGCTTGTGGCTTTCTTCCACTTGCTTAAATTTAGATTCCAGTCCCCTCATCTGGTTTTCCATCTTCTCCACGTACTGTAGGTCTCTCTGAGTCCTCCTGTCCAACACCTCTATCGACTGGGACATGTTTTGCACCTGTCAAACGAGAAGGGACTCATTAAGAAGGTGCTTCCAGCGGCGAGGCAACCCCCCTTGCATCCCAAGGCTGACCTTTTCCTCACTCTCAGCACAGCTAAAGGGCAATCAGCCCATGCATTATTTACTGCTCCATCCACAGCAGCTCCCAGATTGCGACCCCGTGCTCTGACACACAGCAAAACGCTTTCATAAACGCTTTTTTTTTTTGCTATTTTTTTTTTTTTTTTCTGCAGAGAATAAATCAACAACCCCGCACGGAAACGAGGGTGGGAGCAAGGTTAGAATGCATTTCTCAGGATGGCTGAACAGGAGAGGAGAGCAGGGAGGTGACAGCATCAACCTGGCAGGTGCGTGTCCCCATCTCCTCGCGCGACACCGACCGCCCCGGTGACAATTCCAGCCGGCAAAGCTTCATTACTGACACCACAACAATTCCAGCTGCAGGGAAGGGCATCCTGGCAGTGGGGAGAGCCGTGGGATGGCTGGCACCCCGCCCGTGCCCTCCCTCGCAGGAGGCTCGCTTTCCGGAGCCGCATCCCCGCTCGGAGCCCATCTGGCCTCGCCCAGGGAATGATGCAAAGAGCTTGGCTGAGCTCGCTGTGACAAAACTGAAGGTGTGAGYGAGGAGGGGAGGGAAACGCCGCCGAGGCTGACCTGATTTTGAAGGTTGGCTGCCATCTGATTTATTAAGATATTCCCTCCTGTTTTCCAGGCTGGGACGGAGCTCTTACGTCAGCGCCTGCTTAGCATCGAGTGTTGAGCCATATTTCAGGGCTGGGCGCCGGGGACGGATGTGTTTGTCCCATGGTGGGGACGTGACGGGGCTCAGCCCACGGGTGCAGCTCCTGCCACCGCCACGTCACCCCCAGAGTGGCACCGGAGGGATGACGTCCGTGGGGAGCATGAATCAGGCGCTCATTCTGCTGCTGCTGCTGCTGCTGCTGCGTCAGGGCCCTGGCGTTAAAACCACCCTGCTCAGCCACGGGTGGCCGAGCCAAACCCGCTGGGAGCCAGCCCTGTCTCTGTGGATCCGCTCCCAGGCTGGCACGGGAAAGGAGAAGGTGCCAGGAGAGGTGCCAGTGCGACATTTCCCCTGGCAAACCCCGCTGCGAGGGGATGGGACTTACCTCGAGTGTCACCTGGAGTGACAGAGCGAGGGCATGGCAGGACAGACCGGGCTCTCAGGTGCCAACCATGGCACCTCAGCCTGGGAAACCATCACAGTGCCCCCTGCTCATCAGGGGGACACCCAAACTATCACAGGGACCTGTTAAAAATGTCCTGGTGACCCGTATGGCAAAGGCAAACAGCCTCTGGAATGTTCTGTTTGGGGGGCTGAGAGCTTTCCTCAGCAAAGGTGAAGCTGTTTGGGGTCTCTGAGCCTCAAAGATGAACCAGCACCACCCTGACCCCACAARGATCTGCTCAGGGAGGTGAGAGGAGCAGGGAAGAGCAGAACAAGGAGAAAAGAACAAAGCTGAGCTTAAGCTGTGCCTCCCCCGGGGCATGTGAGCTCTCAGTGGGTGTTAATTCACCTGGGCTGCATGTGGAGGAGTTTGAGGACCWCTCTGTGCCCTGAGGCAGGAGAAGGGAAGCCTTAGACAAGCATGGCTGGGCTGCCAAGCCACTTTCCTTCCAGTTATCCRGCCTCTCCTCCTGCGAGCAGAATTACTCCGACGAGCAGAGAGGGGGATGGCTCGTAGGGCTCGAGCAAAACTGATCCCATTTATTTCACTAAAACCCAACCCCAGCTCAAGGCCGAGCTGCAAATAGCCAGAAAAGAGCATTTCTCTCAATCCAGACCAACATCTGAGTCTGCTGAGTAAAATTTGGGGGGGTTCCTTATGTTCTGGTGAGAAGGGAGGGGCAGACTCTGCTCTCAGAGCATCTCAGGCTGCTGCCCTCAAACTCCTCCGGTGCAATTCTGCTCCTCCCTGAAGCAGAGCAAAATAACCTCCTCACGTGCCTCCACACAGAGATGCCTAAAATCAGCTTCTGTGCTATTCTGGGATGGATTTCACAAGCCCAGAGCCGKGTATTTGTTGCCCGTGCTGTTTTCCATCAGGCAGGATCCGGGTTAGATTTGTAGGGAATGATCCTCCCTCCCTCCCTGCCGATCCCTGYGTGCTCCAGCAGCTGAGGAGCTGCTCGTTTCCCCTCATTAGCATATTATGCCCTTGATCCAGCAAAGTGCTTTGGCACATGATTAGGTTTCAATGAGCCTGTTGGAGCTCRGGCTGAAGCGTCTACAGAAGTGCTCTAATGAACTCGGGCCCAAGGATGCTGCCTCTTCAATCCCCTCAGCTCCATCCATCAGCTGCAGCCCTCAAACGTTGGCTAAAATGCTTTTTGCCTCCTCTCTCAGCCTGGAGCCTCATTTTTGCCAAGCTAATGCGAGAGAGATACCTGTGACTGTCTGGGGGAGAAGAGTTATTTTTAGCAGTTGAAATAGGAAATTAATACAAATGAAGCTTCCAGCGCTGTTCTTGTCATCTCATTTGACAAGGAGTTGTTTGATTAAAGCAGAGGAACAGAGAGTCAAGACTGGCCCGATGACCTCAGTGAGGTTTATAAGGACAAATCCACAGTTTAAACCCTGCTCAAGCTTTCCCTGTGGATCAGCTTTCCCTGCCAGCTCCAAAAGGGCTGATTTGAGCCCAGTTTTGGGGTGTCAACTGAGGTAAATCTTTACCCTTAGGGAGCTGGACAAACTGCTGGAGCAACAGCAGGAGACACCTTGAGGGAGCCTTTCAAAATCTAGGGGGAAAATTGGCCAAGAAATGGACTCAACTGATGGTTSAGGATATGAAAAGTTCATCTTGTGAGGTCTGCAGGCAGCAAAGCGAAGGCTGAGATGTCACTGTCCCCCTACACACACCTGGGAGTGACTGTCAGGGGGACAAAAAGCACTTTTTAATCTGGAAATCAGCGCTGGCAAAGAGGGAAGGATTGGCAGGAAACCAGAAACGCTTTCACCGTCAGAGGAGGAATCCCTATTCGATAATGGGGCCAAAATAAATAAATAAATAAATAAATAAATAAATAAATAAATAAATAATCTGTTTGGGGATCAAAGATAATCTGTTGATGAGCAGGACTGAGGTGATATCTTGGTTTGGGCACAGTCCAAGGCCTGGCCTGACACTCCTAAGGCTGGAAGGACTCAGAGTGCTCCGGCCAAGGATGAGCTCAGACACCTCAAGAGTCACAGCACGGGCTGAGCACTGTGCAGGGTGAGCAGCCCTCTCCTCTGCCCTTCCCAGTGCTGCTCTTTAACCTCTCAGGGTCCCCATCCCTCATTTCCAGCCACTCTTTAACCCCTCAGGGTGCCCAACCCTCATTTCCAGCCACTCTTTAACCTGCCATGGTGCCCATCCCTCATTTCCAGCCCCTCTTTAACCTCTCAGAATGCCCAAAACTCACTTCCAGCCCCTCTTTAACCTGCCATGGTGCCCATCCCTCATTTCCAGCCCCTCTTTAACCTCTCAGAATGCCCATCCCTCATTTCCAGCCCCTCTTTAACCTGCCAGGGTGCCCAGCACTCATTTTCAGCCACTCTTTAACCTCTCAGAATGCCCAAAACGCATTTCCAGCCCCAGGAACTGCTGCTCCCACACAGATTCTCATCCCATGAGTCAAGTATGGATGGATGGGAGCTCTGAACCTCCCAATTCCCAAAGCCTCTGCGCAGAGATTTCCCCTGAAGATGCCCTAATTGCTTTGTGCAAACACACACACAAATGCAGCCGATTCCTTGCTGGCTCCCCATCATTCCCATAGGTGACTTCCAGGTCTGCTGCCTGGAAAATCCACACCCAATTTGCTCCCTGACACGTTGAACTGCTTCTCCTGCTGCCAGGGAGAACCCAGGAGCTGCGATTTTCCCCATCACAAAGCCAGGGTTAGAATGTCAGCTGAGGGAAGGATTTTCCAGGAATGAAACCCYTCCCTGGGAAGCTGCAAGCTCTGCTCTGCAGCTGTTTTCTCCTACAGGGGTTATCAGTTCAGCCTCCATCGAGATCAGATGTCTGGCACTGAGAGCCTATTCCTTATTTTGGGGTTTTTCATATAGGTTAGCGTGGGAGTGAGATGCAGACAGATTAGCAGGCAGGTAACATATCCCAGAAAATCCTGCTCCTCCCTCACTTTTTATCCATTGGCAGCCGGAAAGCTGCATTAAAAAAAAAAAACCCACCAAGCATTTCCACCCCCCTGATGTTATCCCAGGTCTCCCATTCCCAATTTCTGCCCATCAGCAGAGGGCATGGGGTCAAATCCTGCTCATTTAGGAGCTCTGGGAACACCGTGGCTCTCAACCACCCCCATCAGCTGCTCCTAAATCCAACAGCAAACACACCCGGCACGTTATTGCTGTGAGAAATAAAAGCCTGAGTGGGATTATTTTTAGCAGCCTCTGACAACCCAAAGAATTGTTTTAGGGCTGAATGTTTCCTGGCTCGCTTTATTGTCCTTAGCACATGGGAAAATCAGTTAAGTGGAGGTTTAATATCGTTACAGGGAATTAATACATCAGCTTCCCCCAAAGCAGCAGGATGGAAATTCTTTTGTCATGCACAGCACAGGCCAATACAGCATCAGGGCATGGGGTTTAATTATATACCCAGCACAGGAGCCAGCTCATTTTTGAAAGAGAGCAGCACCATTTCACATGAAACAGCATTTCTTCACTGAAAATCTATTATCTGGAAAATTTCTTGTTATTGGGAATGTTTCCCTAATGAGATTCTTTGATCTTTTTGGACAGCAGACTATTAAAAACTAATCAAGAGGATGTCAGCGTTAGGAGGAAAACCACCGAGTGTCATCTCTGTGCTACCTGATGGTGACAGCTCGTGGGGTTTTACTCCATCTTTTTAATACCACCCTGCCTAGAAAGGCTGGGCTTGGGGCTTTTAATTCTCTTTTCTCTCCTGTTGTTGAGGCTCATCCTTTGAAACTGCTTGTGCCAACAGAATGAGAAAAGGGGATTTTTTTTTTTTTTTCTAGAGATACAGTTCAATATCATTGCTTTGATCTCAGCAGTTTTACCTTGACCTTAGGTCAGGCTTTCCTCTATGCCTCAGAAACACTTATGGGATTTCTCCTCCTGATTTTTCCCCACTTATGCACTCAGGGACAGCTCCAGCACGGAAAAAAACATCACCCCTGCAAACCAAAGCTCAGCCCAGCTTTTCACCCCCCCAAAACCCAACCCATTTTTGCCAGAAGGGGCCGAGCTTTACCTTTTCTAGGAGTTGTCTCAGCTGCTTTGTCCTGGCATCACGCGAGCACATCGTCTGTTGAGGTGCCACCACTGTGCATATACAACGTCCCTCGCTATCCTGGGCAGAGCTGTACACCTGCCAGCTTTCCTCTGGGTTGGTAGGCAACACCTAATTAACACAGGGAGATGTGGGTTAATTAAAGGGGGGGGTTAATTAAGCCTGGCAGGGGTGCAGGGGGTGAAGGGGAAAGAGTGGAGGGAGCGGGGTGGATGTGATGGAGAGTGGAGCTGTGCTGGAGGCTCCTCCGAGGGCCCAGCTGGCAAAATTCACTTGGAATGCAAAAATATGGATTGGGGACAAACCGAAGAAGGGTCTGAAAAGGAGAGCAAAGGCTGGAACATGAAGGAAACGCGATGGGGAAAGGGTGGACGCACGGAACGCCAGCCAAGAGCGAGAATTGCGGGCGCTGGACAGCACTGACCACCTCGGGGTGGGGACCTGCTGYGGTGACAGGGCACTCGGCTGCTCCGGGTCCCCAGGGAGGGCACAGCGTCCTGCCGAGGGCTGAGCACGGCTCCCCGCCTCTGCAGAGCTCTCCCGGAGCCGGCAGCCCGAGGATCAGCTCTCCTGAGCACACGGACACTGCGAGTGACTCTCCCCGTTCTCTGCCAGACTCCCCCGGGGATGAGGAGCTGCACCGGTTCCAGGCAGGGCCAGCCCGGAGCCGTGCCCTGAGCAGAATCCCAGCAGGGCAGGGATGCAGGAGGCACCGGGGAAGGGATCCCAGCCCCAAAAACAGCGCAGACCCCAGCCCCAAACACCCCGCAGCCCCTCGTGSCCCCCGCGCTCTCCAAATCTCTCCCATCCTAATTTTTCTTTGATCTCCCGGCACAATCCGTTATTTAACCCCGACCCAGCCTCGCAGCASTTTGAAGGTGTCACCGCGTCCCCGAGCAGAGGGGAAATGTTCTCTCCCCTCTTTCACCACGGAACAGATCACCTTGCAAATGCCCGCGCTGGCAGACGTGCCCCGAGACGGACGCACAATTGGATTCCCTGGCTAAAACAACCGGGGGAAAAAAATAAASGGATCTCATAAACCCTGATAACATGGGAAAAAAAAAAAAATAAATTCCCAGTTTCATTCAGTCAGCAGCGCAACCACTACGCGAAATACTCTGGGAACAGYAGAGCTGCAATAGCGGAGCTCTGTCGGAAGGCACGAGCATGCAGCCTGCAGGAGAAAGATGCCCGATTTTCCCTGCGCAGGGAGGACGGACAGACGGACAGGAACGTTTTTCCCAGGCATTCCCAAAGCGGGAAGATCAGGCACGGCCCCAGCAGAGCGGGGACAGGGGACATCCAGCCCCACCGCGACACTCGGCAGCTTCCCGGCTGCGTCTCCATCCCACTGAGGGCGGATCGGGCACGGAGGGAAGCGGAGGAGCCTCCCGGGACCCGCACCGCTCGTCCTGGAGGCTTTTGCAGCGYCAGCGAGGGAAACTTCGCATCCCTTTGGCGGCAGGGGCGGTGCGGGCGGGCTGCCGGGTCGCCCCCAGCCATGAATGGCTAAAGCAGAGGAGAGGAAAGGAGAGGCAGAGATGCTCTCTGCGCCGCCACCGCACCCGCTGYCCCCTCAGCGCCCCATCCCCGCTCCTGCACCGCCCGGGGTCACTCCGCAGAGATGTCCCCTCCTTGGGCGCTGCTCTCTGTAGAGCGGGGGCTCCTGCAGGGAGAGACCCTGGTGGCCACGGGGACCCAAACGGAGAGATGTGACAGCCCGGGGGACAACCGGACCAGGAGGGATTGGGCGGCGGCGGGAAGCGGCCGCAGGGATGCTCCGGGATGGAAAGCGCTCCGGGATGCTCCGGGATGGAAAGCGCTCCGGGATGCTCCGGGATGCAGCAGGACGCTCCGGCAGGCTGGGACGCTCCGGGGCAGCCCTCCCCGTGCCCCGCCGCGCCCCGCACTTACTCCCGTGCTGCGGTCCAAGGTGCCGCCCGTGGCCGCCGTGAGTTTGGTGGTGTTGAGCCCCACGAGGGAGGGCAGCGT